TCTTGTAGCCTCCTACTATCATCTTCTGTTTTAATCCTCCTCATAATTTTTGCATCATTAGCAAACAATGAGAGGAACGATTCTATACACTCTGTGAGATCATTTACATATATCAGAAACAGTATAAGTCCAAGGACTGAACCTTGCCGGACTCCACTGGTGACGTCTCGCAAATCCAAGGCCTCACCCCTTACAGGGATTCGCGGTCTTCTGTTGCTTAGGTACTCCCTTATCCAATGGAGTACCTTCCCTTTTACTCCTGCCAGCATTTCCAGTTTTTCACTAGCCTCTTTTGTGGTACTGTGTCAAAGGCTTTCTGGCAATTCAAAAATATGCAGTCTGACCACCCCTCTCTTTCTTGCCTGATTTTTGTTGCCTGGTAGTAGAATTCAATTAATCCTGTGAGGCAGGACTTGCCATTTCTGAACCCATGTTGATGCCGTGTTACAAAGTTCTTTCGCTCCAGATGTTCCACAAGCTTTTTTATCATAATCTTCTCCATCAACTTGCATGATATGCAGGTTAGGAACACTCTCCTGTAGTTCAGTGTCTCCAGTTTATCTCCCTTCTTGTATATCGGGACTACATTAGCCGTCTTCCAAATTTTTGGCAAGTCTCCTGTTACCAGTGATTTGTTATTCACTATGAAGAGTGGCAGGCACAGTGCTTCTGCTCCTTCTTTTTGTATCCATTGTGAGATTTCATCCGGGCCTATAGTCTTTGCCACATCCAACTCTAGCAAGAGCTTCATTACATCTCCCTTGGTAATCTCAAACTCTTCTAGTGGTTCCTGGTTAACTATTCCCTTTCTTATCTCTGAAATTTCCCCTTGCTCTAATGTGAGGACCTCCTGGATTTTTTATTCAGTTCCTCGCACACTTCCTTGTCGTTCGTAGTGAATCTGTCTGCCTCTATCCTCAATTTCATTACCTGTTCCTGTACTGTTGTTCTTCTCCCGGTTTGGCTATGCAACAATTTAGATTGAGTTATTGCCTTGCTTGCGATGTCATTTTCGTATTGCCCTTCTCCCTCTCTTCTCAACCTGACATACTCATTCCTGGCACTCTGGTATCTTTCTCTGTTTTCAAGTGTCTTGTTATTTCTATAGTTTCACCACGCCCTTTTACTTTTCTGCTTAGCTAGTCTACATCTCTGATTAAACCACGGGTTTCTCATCTGCATTTCGATGTTTTCCTTTTGGACTGGGACAAACTTGACTGCTGCCTCCTTACACTTCTGCGTGATGTAGTCCATCATGTCTTGTGCCGTCTTTCCTCTGAGCTCTGTTTCCCATGTTATATCTGTTAGGATTTTCCTTATCTTCTCATAGTTTCCCTTTCGGAATGCTAGCCTTTTGTTTTCAGTTCCCCTTCTCGAGTTCTTAACCGTTCTTCAACCAGATACTCAAACGTCAGTACACTGTGGTCGCTCATTCCTACCGAGGCCTCGAAGCCGATATCCCTTATGTCGGAGTCGTTCTGAGTGAAGACTCGGTCAAGTCTCGCTGGCTCATCGTTTCCTCACATTCTTATGGGTTCCCTGACATGCTGGCACAAGAAGTTTATTGTCGCCACCTCCAATAGTTTAGCTCTCCACGTATCCTCACTTCCATGTGGTTCCTTGTTCTCCCAGTCTATCCTTCTGTTATGGACCCATCACCTTCGTCAGGGTATAGAGTGGCATTTCTAGCGCCATATATGGGTCTGTACTCAAACTACCCTGGAATTGGTCGCTACGTAGACAACTCCATCTATTGGTGGTGGCGTGACAGTGGCAAATGACTCCAGTTTCCCGCCTTGGCCAGCCAGAGAGGTCGTTGTGGATGACCTCTGGTAAGGTGGCGGATCAAGATCAGCGCCACCTAGGTTGTGCTACGTGCATAATGTCAACTCGCCAGTGAGTAAGTGTTACCTCCTGGTTTCCCCGGTGTACTGTCCAATTAACTGATGACGTGTCAGTACTGAGGAAGGTAGTTTACCTTGGGCAGCTTACGTTCTCTCGACTTAGTCCTGGAAGACGACTAAGTAAGCAGCTGCTGAATTGAAGTAGTGTGTTGACTGCTGTGGGAAGTCATATTGGAAGAGATCAGCATACCCCGGGACTGGTTTAGGGGAGAAACGGACGAGAGTGAGGTGCCTGTTGGGAAGCGCTGCTAGCTGGTCGCTGCCAGGGGGTTCGCTAACCCTGTACTGGTTGTTTAGTGGCGCTGATCAGCGTGTGGCTGAGGTCTTCTGCCAGCGAGTGGCTGGAGAGTGGTTGTGGTGTATAGAACCACTCTCCAGCCACGGCGTATATGACAGTAGCACATCGTGATACTGTCAGTGGGCTGGCCCACATAAAAGGTGAACTCGCCAGTGTTTCCCAGTATGGTTGGAAAAGATACTGAGTAGGGGAAATGCTGAGGTTGGAGAACACTGCATGTGAGCGCCAGGTGCCCTGAGTGAAAGAGACACCTATGTACATAAGTATAGTAATAGTCTATTTATTATAATTTAAGGTTTAAGTTCATCCATCAAGAAACCGGTTACTGATCCATAGTGACCGGAACATCTTCCATGATTGAAGTCCTCCATGATGAGCAGGATGGGATCTATTTCTCCAGGCAGCAGAGACTGCCCTCTCAATTATAGAGTTAACTGCCATGTTGTTGTTGACATACTCTTGCCTGGGTCTTCTGTCATTTGGTGGAGGGTTATATATCATTTTACTACTATTCTTGGTCCTCCCATTATCATGGTGCCTGTTATGTAGTCTCTGAATCCCTCGCTGCCTGGAATAGCCATCTCCTTGAAACTCCATTTATTTCTTATTAGTAGGGCCACTCCACCTCCTCCCCTACCCTCCCACTCTTTCCTTATTACTGTGTAGTCCTGGGTAACACCGCATTCATTATGATTCCTGAGAGTTTTGTTCCTGTGAGTCCGATTACATCTGGGTTCACTTCTTGTGCTCTTTCCCTTAGTTTACTTGCCTTGCTTGTAATCCCATTTATGTTAGAGTACATCACGCTGAAACTGACTCTCTTCTGTCCTTCCTCAGTTTCTGTTGATTCCCCTGAAGCAGGGGGAAACAGGCAGGGTCCGGGATGGGAGGGTCTAGGGACCTGGGGGATCTGGGGGTATACGGTGGCTGGGAGGATCTGGTATGGGGAGGGTAGTAAAGGAAGGGAAGGCTAGGAGGGGTGGGGGGAGAAGAGAGGGCCGGAGGGGGGAAGCTTGGTGGGATGGGTAAGGGGGGGAAGCTTGGTGGGATGGGTGAGAGGGGAAGGCTTGGGGGGGGGGGTGAGGGGGAGGATTGAGTGGTATGGGGGAGGGAGGGCTTGGGGGGATGAGGGGGAAGGGAGGCCTGGGGGAGCAGAAGAGGAGGGAGGGGTAGGGGGAGAGCTGTGTAGGGTGAGAAAGAAGGGAGGGCTTAGGGGAGAGGGAGAGAATCTAGGGCTTAGGGGGAGGGGGAGACGGGTGGGCATGGGGGAGAAGGGAGGGCTTTTCGGGGGGGGGGGGAAGAAGAGAGGTCCTGTAGTAGGGGGGAAGATGCCCTGGGTGAACACTTAATGGGGAAGCTGGCAGGGGTTGGGGAAGGCAGGATGTCTATTGGGTGGAAGGTGGGGGTGGTGCTCCTCTCCCTGTGGCTGTTTAACTGCTTGTGGCTGGTTACCCACTCAGCTTTGGGACTGTAGGGTTCGGGGTTGTGGTTCCCTTACTCCCTGTACTCACCTAGTTGTGTTTGCGGGGGTTGAGCTCTAGCTCTTTGGTCCCGCCTCTCAACCGTCAATGAACAGGTGTACAGATTCCTGAGCCTATTGGGCTCTATCATATCTACACTTGAAACTGTGTATGGAGTCAGCCTCCACCACATCACTTCCTAATGCATTCCATTTGTCAACCACTCTGACACTAAAAAAGTTCTTTCTAATATCTCTGTGGCTCACTTGGGCACTCAGTTTCCACCTGTGTCCCCTTGTGCGTGTGCCTCTTGTGTTAAATAGCCTGTCTTTATCTACCCTATCAAATCCCTTGAGAATCTTGAATGTAGTGATCATGTCCCTCCTAACTCGTCTGTCTTCCAGCGAAGTGAAGTTCAATTCCCGCAGTCTCTCCTCGTAGCTCATTCCTCTCAGCTCGGGTACTAGTCTGGTGGCAAATCTTTGAACCTTTTCCAGTTTAGTCTTATCCTTGACTAGATATGGACACCATGCTGGGGCTGCATACTCCAGAATTGGCCTGACATATGTGGTATACAAAGTTCTGAATGATTCTTTACACAAATTTCTGAATGCCGTTCGTATGTTGGCCAGCCTGGCATATGCCGCTGATGTTATCCTCTTGATATGTTCTGCAGGAGACAGGTCTGGCGTGATATCAACTCCCAAGTCTTTTTCTTTCTCTGACTCCTGAAGGATTTCCTCTCCCAGATGATACCTTGTATTTGGCCTCCTGCTCCCTACACCTATCTTCATTACCTGTGTGTGTGTGTGTGTGTGTGTGTGTGTGTGTGTGTGGTGAAAAAACATAAAGAAACAATTGATTGGTTGACAGTTGAGAGGCGGGTCCTAAGAGCCAGAGTTCAACCGCCGCAAGCACATCTAGGTGAATACATCTGTACCAGCCACTTTAAAAATCATTTAGTCACAGAACTTACAGAGGTAGCAATCATTTTCACTGGATTCCTAACTCACTGGAATTTTCATATTTTCATATTTGGAGTATTTCATATATTCATATTTGACAGAGACGGGGATAAAATCTTGTGCTGTTTAATAATTTAATTATTCATTCGTAAATTGTTTAACTTCTTATTGCTGTATAACTGGGTATGGCTTCTCAAGTGGGTCATGACTTGTAGGCACATGACGAAACTCACTAAGTAAGCACTCTTGAGGGACCAATTTTTAGCTCTGGAAGAACTGCGACTTACAAATAAAAAGAGCATTTTATCAGTTTCTGTGTTGCTTCTTGCATTTATGTATTACACATTGATGAATGTATTGCATGGTGTTGCAG